CAGTGGGCAACTCTGTTAGTGTGCAGTTGATATCTTTCATAAATCTTGGATAGTCTGGTTTAAGCCGTTTTTAATATTTGCTTGCTTCCATGTGTTAGGAATTGGTCATAGCAATAACTCATCTGCTAGCTTCACGTAACTGGCAAAAGCTGCCAATATACTGCCAGTTTTATAAAATGCCACTGTACTTTTTTTCCAGCCAGGAAAAAGATGGAAGCATTTACTCATCAATTTGTGCTACCAAAATTAATATAAAATATGGAGGAAAACCAACTTGATGAAAATGCTAAACCACTTTATAAAATACCCCTATTAGTTAGGTCAGTAGCTGCCATGAGCAGAAATGTGGACAGTTTCAGTGTTTTGCTTTTCAGTTCTCTGTTTTATTGTTTTGAAAGTTAAATAATTAGAAACAAAAAGGATATTTACTTACTAAATGTGAAATGCAAGTGTTGTGTCAACCCTTTCTCCTAGTTAAAAAAAAAAATCCCATACTTTTTTTCTCCAATGGTTCTCTGGTTTGCAATACCACATTATTTTTAAGGCAATTTATCTTGCAACTATTGCAACACTTATAACATTGCAACACTTTAAGCAACTTTTCTTGTTCGTCAGTTTGGGAAAATTTGACAATTTGCCATAACAAACATATAATCTGATTGACAACCAGCAGTGAAATCATGGAAAAGCATGTGAAAGGAAATGCCAGATAGCGGCCACTGCTTTATGAGTAGAACTCTTTTCTGATTCCGCTTTCATCTCTCTTTATTGTATTCTGAACATAGTACCCATAACTAAAATGCAAGTAGTGTAATTTCTCACTAATATCCCAGACTGAAGCCTAGTAAAATTGTATGTCTTTCCCCTTTAAATTATACAAATGATTTAATAAAGTGTTACATTGCTTTTAAAGAGAACCAGTCTTGGTTGGACATTTAAAAGTCTGATTATTTAATCTTAAACTATATAATTGTGCAGTTTTACTTTTGAAAGTCCTATATTTGGCTTCTTTACATACAGTAGCCTGAGTCTGACACCTCAGCTTGAGAGACAGGGGACATCTAAAGCAGGTTAAAACCCTTTTCCAAACCAGATCTGGAATGCAGTGCATTGCATTTTGCTGTGTTTTTGACGCATTTTTACAGCGTTTTTACCACGCTTTTTCCTTGCTCAGGAGGTTTGGGTTTTTTTAACCTTAAAATGGTCTTACAGGTGCATTCCAGTGCATTTTTTTGCGTTTCAGTGCATTCCAGACCAGACAAAATAAGACCAGCAGTATATTTCTGGTCTGGTCTGGAATGGACTGAGCTGGTGTGAACAGAGGCCAGAAATAGCATAGGGATACATTAGGATGCATTTTGGGTCCGGAAACAATCTGGTCTTTTCTGGAGATGATCTGCATGTGGTGTTAATGGGCTCTAATGCTATCCATACACCAGGGCAATTTTCTAGCATTTCAAACTAGCTTATCACCATACAAAATGGACGACTTAAGCGTTTTTAAGATTTAACTCCTAAGTTTAGTGTCCCTTTAAGGTAACCTATGTTTACCAGTTAAGATATTTACATGGTATTGATATGGGTAGGTTGTCTTGACCTGTTCAGTCATGTCTGCAATCAAATCCTAGTTGAAATTACTAGAAATGTGACAGTCACTGTCCTGTCCACTGTCTGATCTTGCATAGGGTCCCGCAATGCCCAGGAGTGCACAATGGCATTAGACAGCTGATCTCTGCATATATCTACATTCCCCTTTACTAAAGGGATCCTTTATCAACCACTTTTATACATTCAGGAGTTGGGAGGCAGGGAATAAGGTGACACTTAAAGGGTGGCAACTGTCAGACTTCAGGTAATCTCTGACACTCAACTGAAACTTTAGATTCTTGCATAAAGCTGGCTAGAAAGTTATTGATTAATATGAAAACCAGTAGATCCTGTTAAATCAGAACTGGGCTTGGGGGGTGGATGTGGAGCCTCTTACTTGCACATTATGGCAAACTTAGTTTGTCCTCCTCCAGTGAAGACAGGGCTGTGCTCATCCCCAACTTCTTCTGTTCTCCTGGTCTAGCTTTTCCTTTGTTTGGCCTTTGGAAGGCCAGTGAAGATGTTACTCCCATTCATGTGTGCTGGTGTTACATTATATCAACACCTGGCTCTGCGCTTGGTATCTTACAGATCCCAAAGTGTGTATGTGCAGTGTTATGTGCCACCTGGAAAATAATTGGGGAGAAAAAAGAGGTAAAACTGTTTTTTTGAGGCATACAAAGTGTCTTCTAACAAAAATATCAACTACCTAGCAATTCTTCCCACATTTGAGTTCTGCTTTAAAGCTTATGGTGATGCTCACTGTTTGCTGGCCACAATCCCCCCACCACCAGCAACAACACTACTTATATAGCTTTGCTGTACCTTGCTCCAGGTCTAACAACTGGTGATGTCATCAGTCATCGACTACAAGTTGCTTTGGTGTGATCTGCGGGACACTCAACATCACATCCTGCTCACTTAGGGCACCCTGTAGAGCCAAAGTGCAATGGGCAGAGGTGGGAAGCACTCCAACTAAATCAGGAAGTGCTGCCTCCATCCTTTTTGGCAAACAGGCGTTTAGAAGACCAGCCAACCTGGGCACAGAGAGCAGATGGGGATACTGGTCTCAACAGGAAGCTCTGGGTCTCCTACTCCAGTAAGGCATCCTTTTCTTATCAATTCCAACAATAGAGGAGAATACTGGAAAAAGAAAAGTAGCTTCTTATAGGTGAGCAACTTACTTTAGTTGGTTGAATTTGGATTTCTGTCTGGTTATTTTATGTGTTTACATACAACTGCCCAGATAGTAAGGATAACTTGCCACAAACTTGTGGCAGGGCTAAATTGTAATTCTTCTTAACTTGCTGCACACATTCTTGGCAAGTTGTAGACTTGCAGAACACTTGCAGCACAAGTTCTAGTTGACACTTTTTGAATTTGTAGCAAATTTGCTTGGCAAGTCTACAACAAGAGTCGTGCAGGTCTTAGCAAGAGCTCTGCAAGTGTACAGCACTTTTGCAAAGCATGTTGATCTGGAGACTTGCAATGCAGTCTTGCTGTAATTGTGCAACAGAATTGTGAAGCTTGGCAAGTCTGGCAATAGTTTAGCAAGTCATTTCCAAACTTGCAGCTCAATTACTTCCTATCTGGGTGCTACATAAAAAAAAAAACTTTATTGAGCATAGGAGGTATAATAATGAAGTACTCATTTGTCCACTATAGTAGTAAAATGACCAAACTAGAGAATAGATCTTCAAAGTGTCATGTTTACAAATGTATTAACAAGTCCAAAATAACACAGTAATTTGTATCATTTGTTTTACTATAGTATTATTAGAGTTACTAAATTGGGGGGAAAAGATACAGGCCCATCCAGTCTAACCTATGTATGTGTGTGTGTGTGTGTGTGTGTGTGTGTCAAATTTAAGTGACACTAAACATCTTAAAAATGTATTCAAGTACCTTAACTATTAAGAAAGATGAATCTTATTTGTAGATCCTCAAATCATCTCTGAGTTGGTGGGGACGATGTCACTGTCGTAATGGACTACAATCTCACTACAAATTAGTACACTGAATGGGAGATTGTAGTCTATCACAGGAGGGAGCTTGGAACAAATAAAAGGGTCTACAGCCGAGTAATACACAAATGAGATACATTTTGTTACTCCTGAGTTTAGTGTCATTTTAAGTTATCTATTCTAAGAATATACATATCTCTCCGCCCACTAACGCATTTCACCCAATCCTGTGCTTAATCCTAACCCTTCCCTCTAACCTTAAATTGTACATATGTGTCCTCTCCAGGGACCTAAGAGTAATCATGGTGTCCTTGCCCTTGCAGTCACCATTGATTTGTAGCTAGCGATCATGTCTCCTCTTGAATGGGTGTTTACTAAAACACTTTACTGACTATTAGAGGTGTTTATTTAGGCAGGATCTCATTGCCAGGCTGATTCTACAAATCAATGGTGACTGTAAGGGCGGTGACACCATGATTACTCTTAGGTTCCAGGAGAGGGCACGTATGAAGGGCTCATGCACAGGGATGTATTGACTTTACTGATATACTACGCTGGATCTCACTGCCAAGCTGATCCTACAAATCAATGGTGACTGTAAGGGCGGTGACACCATTACTCTTAGGTTCCAGGAGAGGACACGTATGAAGGGCTCATGGACATGGATGAATTGACTTTATGGATATCTACACTGGATCTCTCCGCCAGGCTGATCCTACATATCAATGGTGACTGTAAGGGCGGTGACCCCATGATTACTCTTAGGTTCCTGTAGAGCACATGTATGAAGGGCTCATGCACACTGGTGTATTGACTTTATGGATATCTACGCTGGATCTCACTGCCAGGCTGATCCTGTGTAGATATGGCTAAAGTTATTAGGTCCCTGTGCATGAGCCCTTAAATGGCCTGTCTGTCAGCTTTGCTTGTGTCATTTCCAGGCTATTATTCAGCTAATAATAAAGGAGTATATGACTTAAGCAATAGTTGGTGGACTCCCAGGTCTCCAGATGTGAGCAGGCACTGTGCATTGACGCTGTTGGGCTGATCACCAAGGCAGGAGCTGTCCTGGTGCTAGCTGTGAGCAGCACTGAGGGGGAAGTGTTTTTGGCTAAGTTTGGCGTAGTGATGGGCAAGCTCGCCCTGTGTGAGTCACGTCCTGGAACTTTACATGAGCCCATTGGTGTTGGGTAAGTAATGAGGGCGGATGGTCAGAGGTGGGGCAATACAAACAGCCCGGCACAGCTGACTCCCGCACCCCACCGAGAAGAGGGGGGAATGGTCGGTGTCAGTTGCGGAAGGGGGGTGCGAATTGGAAGGACAATGGGAGGGGGCAGTAGGAGGGGAGTAAACGAGAGACCTAGCGACTCCGAAGAAGAGAGGAAGGAGGGAGGGGTGTAATAATGGAGG